AAGATTTTATTCGTGACCCTATTAAAAAAATTGAACCATAACCAAAAGTCGTTTGGCCTTTTTTCCAAACAAATAACTTTAGGTCCCCATACGGCACGCATACAGCTTTCAGTAATTTCTTGTCGTTACGATTCAATTTTAAGTCATACACATTTCTTCTCGATGGCTTGAAAAACTAGCTAGGACTAAAATGCATTATTAATCATTCCAAATTATTAAAAAAATACACAAAGTCCCCATCAAGATTGCCCAAAATCCTCCCGTTTTGGTTGAGAAATATAACATTATTGATTTCATACCACTATTTTCATTGACCATTGTGGCATTTGAGTGTGAAGGAAAATAAAACACTGTTCTGTCGTACGGAAACATTGAAAATCTGGGAAACTTCATGGGCACCAATTTTGCTTTTAGGCCACAAAGTTAGTCTTCCTCTTGTCAATGCCAACACTAATAATCCAAAAGTGTGAAATTTCCAAGCCGCGTAATTGAGCATTTGGTCAAGCCTGAGATAAAATATTGCGAAAGAGATGCTATTCTAATCCAAAAGAAAATGTTGATGCGCGGAACTATATTATTTTTAGTTGTTAATGGTGGTGTAAGTTCTCAATATTAATAAATCTATCCCTTTACGAATAATTATAATAAGTGCAGTCAAGAAGAAACTGCAGTTCAGTTTTGTAAATCTATGATCTTATTCCAAAACGAACTTGGACTCGTCGAAGTCTAGCTCAACACGACTGGTTTGCAGCACTTTATGTTGATCATTTTCAACTCGAGATCCATGATTGATTCATCACTCATGCAAATGATTTTAATATATTAAGGTGAAATTTTTGTTAACTATATGTATATACGGTGAATAGGTGATTCGGTGATCAAGAAACATTCAAGTATTTCATAAAAGAAAATAAGAAGAGAAAAAAGAGGGGGGGACAAAATTTCAACTCTTTGCGATGAATTAATTATTCATCCAAACTCAGTTAACAACGTAAAAAATTCTACTTCCTAATGCTAGATATTTCTGATCGAGTTTCCTGGCTCGGTGAGCTCAGGGGAAACAGAGTCAAAAGCTCTGGTGGGTCACTTCCTCTAGGCGTATTCAATGGCGATGGATGCAAGTAAAACCCTTTCTCCGCAATCGCTTTCTCTTCCTCCGATACTGCTGAAGATGACGGCGATTCTGTTCCGGGAGTCGGGAAAAATGGAAACTCCAACAGCGGAGTCACCGGACTGGGAATTGGAGACACGAATGGATACTGGGTTGTTGTCGGCGGTGATGAATTGCTGAGAGAGGTAAGACCCATTTTGATCTCCAGCTTCCTAAGAGTATGCTGCCTCCGTTCTTGGAGCTTGAAAGGTGATCGCCGAGGGCCGGTTGGATCGCCTGGGGGAAGTAAGGATTTGGAACATCTTGCAGGGGAAGTCAGGGGAAGCTTGTCAGCGCCGCTGGCTAATCCAGTCAGCTTCTGGACCAAGTCGCGGAAGGTGGTTGTGTCTGCTTGGACAAAAGTTGTTGGCGCCAGTGACATGGGTGCCGGAGCTGCGTCGTTCGGACGTTTCTCCATTTTAGAAAACAGAAGAAAGAAAGAAAGAAAGAAAGAAAGAAAGAAAGAAAGAAAGAAAGAAAATTTCAGGGGAAAATGTTCTGTTTTGGTGATGGGTTATAGTGGCAGGTTGAGTTGTGACGTTGGAGGTGTGAGAGAGGGTTTAAAGGGTCGTTTCTTGAAGAGTTGTTAAGGTGACATTCAGAGGTTTGAATTTCTCAATGCAGCTAGCCCACCGGCCACAACTCTATTCAATTTAGAGTAGGTATGTTTTGCATTGCATTGAGGTGCAGCCATTTGATGGAGGGTTCTTAAATATCATGGATTTTTTTTAATTTAATAATTAATATTTTGTAATCTAATGTAATATAAGTTATAAAATATTTATTTATTTCTTTATTACAATATATATATTTACCAAATACTAAAGCTAAAAATATATTTTTAATTTATCGTAAATAAAAATTGATATTATTTTTGAGGTAGTAATTGTGACCTTTAATTAATAAAGTACTCTATTGATTTTAATTTATTTATTACAGTTTTACTCCACACAAATAAGAGGGTAAGAATTAGGAGTATATAAATTATGAGGAGGATTAAAATGATTAGAGCATATCATTTGAAGTAAGTACTTTTATATTAACTAAATACTCCCTTAGTTTAATATGTGATTTTTTTCTTCCAAACTTGTTACAATTGTGGGGGATAGGGAATTTGAACACAAATCTAAGACCTGTAGTACACCCTTTTAAGTTTTAACCACCTAGGTTGACAACCCTAATGCTATTATCTGAAAATTTGAAAAAAGAATGTGAACAAAACAAAGTAATTGAGAAAAGTGATAATGATAGCTAGTCGTGTACATAATTAAATATTCAAATCAAATAAAAGAGTAGTGATCTAGAAAAAGGATTGACATGCAAATTACAATCACAAATTGTTCTTCAATTGAGTGCGAGGGTAGTTTTGAATTTGATTAGCTGGTGGCATCCACAAGTTGTTGACTTCGTTGCTCTTGCACTAGTTATGGTAAATGGAAATTTAGTCATATATATTTTCGTAGGAATCACGCACTGATCCATCATTTTCATGCTAAATGATAGCGAAATGTACAATGTAATTAAATATTAGTAAACATTTTACTTTCTACGTGCCTGTTGGTCCATGTAGATTGTTAGACTTGTTATTTCCCGGTCAAATGTTGTGGCAAACTGGCAATTTTGCTGTGTGATAGGTCCAACTGGTATTTTGGCAATACTGGTTGGGTTGCAGCCTGACAATGGCAATGAGACCCATTGTCGGAATTACCCCAATGGGCTTCCAGCAAGCTGGGCCTTTTTTTTTTTTTAACCGGCGAAACTCCATTCTCTTTTTTGCCGCACACTAGTTTTTTAGCCAATCAGTAGTATTTTATCTTCCATTATATTAAATGGATCTCAAATTAACAGACAAGATTAATTCGAACTAATAATAGAATTGATGTGTCTTTCGCTGTGTAAGTTAGAATTGTCACTAAACATTAGATTTCATCGAAACGAAACTGGACTCTAATATCATATAAAAATTAAACATGTAAATTTTAAAGATTTATATTTAATTTATAATTAATTAAAAATATAAAAAATAATATTTTTTATATTTAATTTACATATTTTTTAATATCTGATCCTATAATCTATTTTAATAATTTGTGTAGTCTTTAGCCATGCTGCACTGAAAATTCAGTGCAACATCATCTTACCGAACATATTGTACTTCGACGTCCAATTTGTTTGGGAAAAGTTTGCTTCCCACTTCTAAAAAAGTAAAACTGAGACCAACGTCTTCGTGTTTTCAGCGGGCAGATATCTTCACCAAAGCTCTATCTTCACCATCATTTCGATTGTTTTATTTCGCAGCAATTTGGACGTTGTTTACACACCCGTTCAAATTGTGGGATCGTAAATATACATTATCATTTGCGGTTAGTCATTGCATGCACATTTTATATATATATATATATATATATGAATATAACATATTATATAATAATATAATTATTATAACTTATTATTTCATACTTTAAAATTAAATATATATAAATTTTAAAATATAATTTTATTTAAAATAAATTATATTAATTATATTTATATTATATTTTAATAATTAGATAAAATATTTGTTGGATGTAACCAAAAAGTGCATTAGTCATTTTTCTATATATACACACTCATGCTTGTAATGATAAATTATTCTATACACAGATTATACAATTCTTGTTCGCCATCTCTGTTCCTAAAGCTCTTTCTCCCTTTCTTTGAGAAAACCTGTTTTGGGTTTCTCTTTCTAAAATAAACTAATCAAAATGGTGAGGAATGAATTATACATAACTGTACTCCGTGCTTTCCGGTACCCAATCTCGCTGGAGGTGATGAAGTCTCCAGTCGTTCTCTGCACTGGCATCACATATGACGGCTCTAGCATCCAGCACTGGCTCTAGTCCGGCAAAAATACCTGTCCCGTCACCATGTAGGTCCTCTTGTCCAAAGACTTTGTCCCTAACGTCACTCTTCACCGTCTGATCAACCTCTTGGCACAGTCTTCCACCGGCCGGCCAGAATCTGAGTCTTCGGCGGTCTTAGAGGAGGTCGTTAAGTTTTTGATGGAGAAGATCGAAAGGCCTCTTTGTCTAACATCGTGGAGCTTGTCAACTCTTGTGAAGATAATGGAAGATTTCTAGTGCAATTCAATGGTTTATTGAGGTGATTTCCGTTGTTTTGAGGAAGAAATCCATCGAGATCGAGGCTTGGGAGCTGGTGGTTAGTATTTTGGACTCGATTTTGAATGAAACCAGAATCAAGGAACGATTGAATGAATTGATCCTCAAAAGTAATCAAGAATTCAACAGCATATCTTCAATAATTTCAATTCTTCAGAAAGGAAACCTGAAATCTCAGATCCAATTGGTTCGTTTGCTGGAATCAATTGCATTTGACGCCAAATCTAAACGCGAAATAGCCGAATCGCTAAATCTTTTCCAATCTTGCTCCATCTGCTCAGAACGATTGCCGATCCTACCTTAAAAGACACCGTTTTATCTCTGTTAACCACCGCCTTCTAATCTGGGTTACACCAGAATCTGTACAATCTTTCCCTGATAACTCTTTCATTATCCTATTCATTAACCCAAGCAAATCTTCCACCCACATATCCCATGTCCATCATAGGGCAGGAGTTCATGCACAAGGTATAAGCTTGAAGGTGGTTATGATTAATTGGGGCACCCCTAAATTTTTTAGATTGACATCATCATTGAAGCCACCACCAATAACCCAAGGTCATTTGAAGTAGTCAGCAAAAGTCTTAAGCTCTTGCCAAAGAATAGAGCGAGTATCTATCTACGGTTTAGCATAAACACTAGAAAAGAACCAATCAGTGTTATTCAAGTTAGGATGGTTACATATCTTCACAATTGTGTGGATAGCTTAGCTACTAGTGGACACTACATCAATAGAAATCTTGCTATCATCCTATAAAAGCCAAAGTTCACTTGCAAGCCTATCAACATCAACTACATGAAAGGAAGGAAATAATGTGAATGCAATATCAATAGCCCTGGCTCGTGAGAGTTTAGTCTCCATGATCAACACCATTTCAAGACTATGACTACTTTTCAAATCCATAAAATGATGTTTGAAATTCTAGTTCACCGTCTTGCAATAGTTCCAAATAGTAATCTTCATGGAACACACGGAAATATTAAGAAGTCTTAGGGCTTCTCTGGCTACTTGATACGTGACCGCTATCTCCGAGAATTCCCAAAGGGGAATCACTATTTGTGCTACCAGTAACTAGACAGGAAGTATCACCCTTATGTATTTCCTCTTCATTAGCCTTTATATGTTGTACAAGAGAGCTACATGTAGGTGAACTGACCGTATCATGCCCTATTAGGCCTAAACAATGACACAAAGGAAGGGTTATTAGGCACTCCAATTTCTAAGGGAGATAAGGGCACATATCTTTTCTTTGTTGTTGTTTCCTCTATTCAATAAAAGATTCCACTCTGCAAGTAGGTCGAAGTCTGTTGTCGCTCTTCTGTCCCGCTAATATAAAAAATGTCTAGTAGGGTTGGAGATACTTGGACAAGAGGAATAGTAGTTTTTGACCTCTGACAATATGGTATTTGGGCCACCAACTGATCTATGGGTATGTTAGAAGGGTAAGGAATACATGAGTCAATGAAATTAGGACACACCTCACCCTTAAGTTCTTGAACCACTTATAGGGGATGGTTGGTTTCCATAATGAGTTAGAGGGGGCTGATGTAAAAGGAGGTAGGGTAACAGTTGTCAAAGATGTAGAAGCAGGAATATCGTGCGAAGGGATAATAAATTTGAAGCAATTGTTTTGAACTAAAATTATTT